GCCGGCACCCTCATGGCCCATCACCATAGGCTCGGTGGGCACCTCCAGCCCGCACTTGCCGGTGCTATACATCTTCACGTCGGTGCCGCAGATGCCCACGCACGATATCTTGACCAGCACCTCTGAAACATCATCTCCTAGTACTATTTTCTACGTAAAGTCGAAAAATAACTTTTAAATAAAGAGAGGTAAATTACCATTATCGTTGATTTCTGGAATCGGCAAATTTTCCTGAAATAAAAAGAATCATTTTGCTTTGTTTTAGTGTAATATTAAATAAGCTATCAGTGACCGTGACCCCGCGAGAGCGTTTTTTACGCTCTCTTCTTATACATTTCATAGACGTTTAATATTGTACAGTATACCAAAGTTTCCTAGTTTTAAATATTGTTTTAGCATACCATAATATAAGCTTATGTTTATATTTCTATTTGCATTTATGTCATTAAAAAGTTTGTTTTTAGATCATTTTTGACTGTAACTAATTTAAAAATTAATGCGAAATAAAAATGTGACAATTTTAAAATAATTAACAGCTAATTTCTTGTTTAATTAAAGAACGGATGCCAGCTTTAAAAAAGTAAAAAAAAATATATTTCCTTATTGTTTTTTTTACATTTCTCTTTAATGTTTCGTCAATTGACCGCGGAAATATTTTTTTTAGAATTTCGGATATTTGATATTTAAAAAAAAATTATAACAACTTACGATTCTTAAATCTTTGGGCCCGTACAATACAGCGGCGTAGTTGTCCATCTTCGTATAATTTAGACGCTTTTCTGTATCTTGAACATGTAGATAACTGATGTTTGGCAAATTATTATAAGTTAAGTAATATAATGAAACGAGATAATGAGAGTAAATTCAAATCATTGTTTATTGTACGTCATTCTGCGGAATTTTAATATAAATACTAAGTAAGCGTGCCCGGCGATACTTGGACTGAATTTATACCATGTAACAAACGTCTACAAAAACCTTCAAGTAAATATATCGAAGATAGCTTTGGGCGCAGTTTCATTAGTCGATAAGAAGATTACCTAACAGTATACGTAATAATTTAGTTTAGTAATTTAGTTGTTTAGTATAATGCGTGGCTTAGAAAAGTAAATATCTCCCGACGCATGCGGACGCTATGGCATGCGAGAACAGTAACTTCTCTCATCCATTCGAGAGTTTCATACGTAAATTATATGCAGTTTCTGCATTACATGTCTTATCTGTTTAATTACTGAAATACACTGTTTGATTAAGTGTATTATGTACAAACATAACATGCTTAATTGCAGTTTATTTATCTTAATTGGAGGAATATACTCGTGTGCATAAAAAACCAGGTGACAAATTTGAATGTCTTTAAAATTATAATTGAATCATGGCTGAATCTATACTTTATACTAGTATAATAAAGCGTCGTATAATACACACTTCTTTGTTGCCTAAGATGTCAGCATTTACAGAATATTTTTGAATAACCCTTTTTTTTAATCAAAAGCCCTACACTTACGCCAGGCTTTAGGCTATATATTTTCACTAGCTAGTAAATATTTTAGATAAAAACCCGTGCGAAAGAGACCATAAGTTGCTGCCAACATCAAGAAAGTAAGACTGCCAAGATTTGTCATGGCATTTTATTTTACATTTTCTATTGATAATTTGACAAATGTACACAATAAAATAAAAATTTCATAATTTCATGCGAATGAAGCCGCACGGGAACAGCTAGTATTATATAAAACTTAAAATGTAAATAACGTAAAATAATCTTAACTATACTAATATTATAAAGAGGAAATGTTTGTATTTTTGCATATATTGAAATAACTTAAAAATAACAAGGCCGGTTTCAAAAATTATTTCACCATTAAAAACCTCCGTTATCAGAGAGGAAGATAGGCTATGTAGTTATACTTTTTTAATTGACACGGACGAAGTCGCGAGCAACAGCTAGCCTTTCATACACAAACTACAAAATTACACTGTTCTTTTTCTTTTACCCATCCTGAATAGCACTTTTTAGTGGTACAATATATAAAAGGTCATGTATTTCACTAATCCTTACCAGTACGTCAACGAAGGAAACCGCTTATAAACAAATTTTCGTTATGTAACTTATAGAAATAGTCCTATTGCGCAGAATCTCTAATATAATACAGTGGCAAACAGTTGCTCTTGAGTGTAATAAATTTATAAAATGCATTATTCCAACTGTTTTTTTAATGAGGAAATGTAATCGACGGTTTTTAATTGTAAATTAAAATTCAACGCCAATTATAACATTAAACTGAATTAAAAGAAGCTAAATGGAGTAATTATTCTTCGGAGTATCACGTCCTTACTGGTTTCGAGCTTACTCCATGTAAGGGGCGATGAGCCTCAAACGTAGCTTAGTGCGTGTTGGTTGGGTCTTCTCGGATATGTTGCAGGTTGTATCGCGATGTTTTCCTTTGGTAAATGATAATCTGTTTATTCCTGATTTCGGTGTTTTCCTTGATCTTAAGATAATTTACAAATACATGGAAAAACATGGCGGAGATCGAATCCGGGCTTATTATATTTATATTACGGTTGTCTCCCGTTATAAACTTAACTTTGCCACCGACGCTTCTGCAATGTAGTGGTGCTTAGACTGACTTAAACAAGCTTTGTCTTGTATTGTTAGATCATAAAGCTGATTTGGTAAAATGTTTTTAACAAAAATAAGTTTTGGAGTGAAATAAAAGAAATCGTTAAAAGGAACATTTTATTGTGCAAAAATAAAACATTTCATATCGTAGAAATATTTTTAACAATTCGTCATAAAAAGTCTGTGAAAATTTGTTTTCCTAATGACTAGAAATCGCTGCAGTTTTCTATAAATGTATAGGTCACATTTAATTTTCTCTATCCCTGTATTAATAATAAATACCTATTAGTATTTCGTCAATATTAATTTAATCTTTATAGAAAAAAGTTTTATATTTCAAATTCTGTCTACGTTTTTATTTATTGTACAAGTAAACAAAATCCTTGCTTTAATCTTACTTTCTTTTTTTTTGTCTCAGGAACAAGGCAAAATTTTCACAGACATTAAAAAAATAAAATAAATTCGATACAACATTCAATAACTTAATTTAAATATCCTATCAATATAATTGCAACTGTCGTTTTGATAAAATAAATTGTACATTTTATATTCCATTTTGAGACCTTCACCATTTTATTGCAATAATTTTTACGCGGCAAAAGCATAGTATTACTAAACAAGTCAAGAAAACTTGGTCACTTTCAAATTACACAATCAATTTTCTATAAAATTATGTCTTATATGCTGAAAATATAGAAAAAGTCATCATTATTATACAATTTTTATAATTTGGTTCGTCAATTGTCTTAAATGTCAAAATTTTAGTAAGATTTCAAAATGGCCGCCTAGTCACGTGCTATACAGATAAAAGCTATAGCGTTATTTCGCAAACTGCTATTTAACGGTTATTTGTTATGACTGTGGGTTGTTGGCGTCGCGGGGCTGGACGTGGATCATGACCTTGATGCCCAGCCCGCGGCGAGCCACCTCGTACGCCTCTAGGGTCTCCTCCAAGCTGTAATGGTGGGAAACTAATGGTTTCACGTTGATTTGTCCACTAGCCACCATCGATAGTGCTATGGGGTATCTGTAATATACCATAAAATGTTTGTTTAAAAATTTGATTGTAAAAGGTTTTGATTATTTTGGGAAAATCCGCAATTTTACTAATTTGTGGGTATAGTACAATTTTATATTCATTTATCTGTAGATTTACAAATTGTTTTTATAAGATTGTTCATATTATAATATAAATTATGTTGATCCCCTTCGATCGTCATCCCACTTATAAATCATTAGCTGGCAAAATCCACTGTATGATGGGAGAAAGGGGCAGATTTATAGGTGCACTGTATTTTCTGATGACTTGAATGTACGAAGTATGAGATATACGCACTCGTTGACGTATCGGAAGATGCCGCGTATGTCGACCTCGCGCGCCACCGCGCCCGCCA